AAAAAAAATCAAAAGTTATCTATTTTATTTCAACTTTCACGTTTAAGCAGTTTAGTCTAAAAGTTTTAAACCTTTTCAAATCAGTCCTTTATTTTTATTTTAATCAAATCAGCCCCTTTAATTTTTATTTGTGTTTATTGTGCATGCATGTTCTTGATTTTGTCTATTTCAGTCCAAAAATAAAAAAAAATGTTTTGATTCGGTTTATCTCTTTTTTTTTAAGTTTGCTTATTAAGACTCAAACATAAATGTAATAAATAAGTTGAATCAAAACCCCTAATGTTAAAGTATGCAACCGTGTTTAAACGGAGGATTGTGGGGTGCGCGTATGCTCTTCTTCACTCCTAAACGAACCCTCGAACCCCGATCTCTGCGCAGACCCGTTTTAGGTGACTTGTCCCACCTTATAATTTGGACGAGTGGCGACTCCCTTTTCTTTTTATATTTTACACTTGTTAATAATGATTTTTCAATTTATTTTGAAAAAATCTAAAGTGGTCGTCAACACATGGGTTAGTTGGGAGTACATGTGTATGGATAAAGGGAGAGGTGGCTTAGGAGTCGCTGATTTGGAGAGGAGGAATTGTAGTTTGTTGGGAAAATGGTGGTAGAGGCTAGGTGATGGTGTTGATTGTTTATGGAAGCGGGTTCTTTGGGAGAAATATTATGGGGGTAGAAAGGAGGCTGATGTTACGTCAGTCGTGACTTGGAATATGTCAGGTGTGTGGAAGGACATTATGGGTCTCGGCAGAGGGTCGGAACGATTAGAAGCAATGTTAGGAAAAGGTTTTAAGTGGAAAGTGGGGAATGGGAGTTGTGTAGATTTTTGGCACGATAAATGGGTGGGGGATAAACCATTACGAAATTTATTCCCTCGGTTGTATGCACTAGCTAATATTAGGGAGGGACAGTTAAAGGATATGGGGTTTTGGAGTGCTGAAACTTGGATATGGGATTGTAGGTGGAGGCGAAATTGTGTAGGGAGGGGAGTGGGGGAGGAAGAACAGTTTAGGGAGTTAATTAATAGGGTTAGGTTGCATAGGAGAAAGGCTGATTCTTGGAGCTGGATACATAGTGCTGATGGTGTATATTTGGCTAAGAAGGCTTATGACTTTTTATCACCGAAATGTTTTATTTTGGATGAGAAATGGTCTAGGGTTCTTTGGGGTAAGTATGTTCCTTCCAAATTGAGTATTTTTGGGTGGAGACTATTTTTGAACAGGTTAGCTACAAAGGATAACTTGTGTAGGAGAGGGGTTGTTGTACTATGAGGGAACATTTGTTGTGGGCTTTGTCATGAGGGTGTCGAGCATCTCCAGCATATTTTTTGTGATTGTAAAGCAGTTTGGTTGGTTTGGATGAAGGTTTTGGGTTGGTGGGGGATCCAGAGTGCTTTGCCAAAAGATGTCATCGGATTGGCGGATGTTGTGGTGGTTGGAATCAACGGTGGGTGCTGGACGGAGGTAGGGACTCTTGTTTTTTTGGTTACTGCTTGGTATGTTTGGTTTTGGAGAAATTTGAAGGTGTTTGGGGCAGGTGAAAGGTTCGAAGACCAAATATTGGATTCTATTCAGTCTAAATCTTTTTTTTTTTTTGGCTAAAAAGCAAGGGACAAGGTTGTAGTTTTTCCTATACAGATTGGATTTTACGCCCGTCGGAGTGCAAAAGGACCATAGCTCAACATGGCAGGAATCTAAGGAAATACAAGAAGATGTATCAAGTGCTGAACCAGGGGGAATTATGAGGATAGAGTTCAATTTCAGTGTGTTGTGTGTGTGCTTTTGAAAGATTCGTTGGGGTTGGGTAATGTGGTTCCTCACAGACATTGCTGCAAGGGGCATCTACTGGCCTAATTTGTTATCTTCTTAGTGGGTGTTTTTTAGGTCTTCTACTTCATGGTGTGTTAGCTAGGGAGTTTTGTTGGTTTAATTTCTCTTTCATTCTTATAAGTGGGCAGGAGTACCCCTTGTACTCCATTTAATAAAGTTCTTTTTGCTGATAAAAAAAAAAAAAAAAGAAAATTGACAGCAAAAATTGATGTGATGTGGTATTAAACTTTCTTTGTTTGGGTTATTTCTGTCATTTTACTTCATTCTTCAGAAATGCCCTCACAAAGCTTGGTATGGCCGAACTGAAATTGTCGATGGGCAATTTGGACTCCAGACTAGCCCATTCATTTATGATTAAGAGCCGGTCCAATCCATTAATTCCTTGTTGGTCAATCAAGGACAAACCATTCATGTTATAATTAAAAAATTTTTGAGAAATTACTTTTTCATCGAACTTCTATAAAAAAATCAAAACTTAATCAATAAGGTAAGGAGTAAACTCCCTTATCAATTAAACCACAAGTTCTTAAGTATATTATACTTAAATTTTATGTATGTTTATCAAAGTAATACTCTATTTGGTTAAATTTAGTTATTCTAGTTTATCTATTTATGATTATTAAAAAATTTATTTACTACAATAATTAAAATTTATTTTTTTTATTTTCACTCTCACTTAAAATTAAATTAAAAAAATTTCTAATACATTTCTATCTCTTTAGATATAAGTGGAAAATTA